TCCTGCTGATTGCTGGCCCTCAGCGACCATTGGGGCTGACAGACAGACCTGGGTGAATATGCAGCACCCCCACCCAAAGCTGAAGCAGTCTTCACAGGGGCATGAAAAGGAAGGGTTTTACCCTGTGCCTGAAACCCATGCTTCAAATCACAACCCAGCTGTCTGTGGCAGAGGGAATCAGACCACCTCCTTTACTTTGCAAGCAACCCTACATGAGGGCAGTGGGAAAAGACAGCCTCGAGTGACCAAAATTTGACATCAGACAGCTCTGTGTCCCTTGCACCACAATAAATTCCTCTGTGGATGGTACAGTCAAGTTGGCTGGCACCAAATCTGCAAGGAAGCCACAAAATAACTTACAACAGCTACAGCCACAGCTACTCACCCTCCTGCAGCGGCAGCGTGGAGGCACGTTCTTCCAAAACTATCAGGGGTGTCTATTTCAAAGCCTGCAGACAGCACGTGCTCATTACTAAACAAGGACACTATGCTATACTTTTGTCCTAGTTAAACCACAAGAAACATTGCAGAGACAGAAAAATCAGTTAGTTGGAAAAAAACAGAATGCAAGCAACTACAGTCAGAAAGAGGTTGTCACGGGAACGGCGAGCAGCAGCTCCCGTTTGGCAGCTCTATAAAAAGAGCTGCAAAGTCGACGAGCATCTATTTCCACATCCAGCTCTGCGCCACATCCCTATTTAAAACCATGTGACAGGCATTTGCGAGGCAGATACTTATCAAGAGGACTGTGACAGCAGTACATGAAGACAGGAAACATGAAGAAATGACGAAAAAACACAGAGTCAGCCTGAACATGAAATGGGGACATTTTTATTGCATGTGGTTTTGAGGTTGGAAAGAGGCTTCCAGGGGCACCCAGGGATACTCATCGAGATGCACAAGGCCAGAGATAATAAGCCTGGCAGAATTAACTCTGGTCACCTAGAGCTTTTTCTCTTCCTTCCTGATCTAGTGGTCAAGGCCGGAGCACACCAAGATTTCATGTAATGGGGTATGTAATTGCCAACTTTCAAACTTTTTTAATACCCTACAGGACTCAAGTTTAGGGGAAAAAAGTAGGAGATTTTACGTGTTATGTAATGAAACAATTTTCTAGAAAAAGTATATGACCTGCCTTGTGGTTTTTTAACTCATGGGAACTCTTGCCTGGAAAAAAATACTTTGGAATTTGGTGCCTGATTACTGCCTCCTTTGAAACGGCTGTGCCAGCAAACTCCTGCTCCTTCTGCTTTGGGCTCTGGTGAGCACCCTGAGCTTGCTCTCGATACTGCACTTTCACTCATTTCCCCTCTCTTGCCCACAGAGCTTTGGCTAGCCTAACTCCTTTACTCTGTCCGGATTCAGAAACACACTTGAGCTGTATCTAAAATATGTCATTGTCAGTGAGATGTGAATACCTGTGCCAGTGCAGGCCACAAGGACATAATTTCCCAAATTATTCCTTGCGGGGGCGGGGCAGGGGCGGGGGGGGCAAACAAAATGGTGTCTCACATTCCTACAGTTTGGAAAAGGGTCCTAAATTTCCTCCCTCTTCCCAGTGAGTTAATATAAACTCTCTGAACCTGCCAGGTGAAAAGGGCTTCGGACATGAACAATACAGGAAGCACCAGCATGCAGTTAGGAAAGCCTCGCACGCTCCCGTACACCACACCACGCAGCCGAACACAGCAGCGCAGGAAGTCTTTCATTTGAACAGTTCACAACAATGAGTATAAAGGGGCCATAAGTAGCAGAGACACACACTACTCAAGCTCCACAGACACTGTGGGATTTACTTACCCGATGACAACAATTTCCTGCAGCAGTCTGAGTGAGCATTCAGTGCCGCTAAGTGTAAAGGGAACATGTTGTGGATCCCGCACCTGAAAGGCACAACAGCCTCATTACACAGAGTCATGTGAAAATGCAGGTTGCATACAGGCACAACACATCAAAAGCTCCTTCCACAAAGGCAGCATTTTTTATCCTTTTCAAGGAAGATTCTTCCTGGCGTTATTTTTATCTGTATTTCCTTACCAGCCTTCTTGGGAGCTAAAAACATTCTGATACAGCAAAATCTTGGCATTACGCTTTGAACAGAATGTGGCAGGAAGGTTTCTAAAACTTTGATGTGAAAGCCAAGGTAAGGGAGAAGCGAGAGAGTCAATTTCCTGGTGTGGGACGCACAAATTTCTGCATCAGCTACACATACTGCAACTGCCCTTCTGAGGTAAAAGTAAATGCTGAAATCTTCTCAATATTATTTCTGAAACCCATTTTTCGTGCAGTTAACATCACAGAATCATAGAATGCTTTGGGTTGGAAGGGACC